GTGCACAGTGGCCTTAGGTAATTCATTTCTGCCTCCAAGCTTACAGAGCCCAGCCAGCGGTTCCCTGGACCTACAGATCCCTTCAGAGTGGGATCGAGCAGTTTATCGAGTTTTCTTTCCAACTACAGACAGTTATCCTCATGATGGAAGTTCAGATGAATTTGATTTTCTTTATCTCATTACGTTTCTAGGGATATTTCTGTGCTCTTTATAGATTGTTGCCTGGTCAGCTGTCTAACTAACTGGCTTGACCTTTGCTCTAACTCTGCCTATAAGATGTGGCTTGCAGAGCAGAAGAGAGGCTCCTGGACTTAAAATATAGCCCTTCTCTGGGGTGCTTGTCTAACATTTGCCAATTGGAGACCCATGTGTTAGGGTTTTTCAGGTTTTTTTTTTTAATTTTTTTATTTTAGGTGAGGCAACCCTTGGTTGACCTCGCAGATTGCAAGGACCTTGTCAGCATACAATCCCTCATTTATGTATGTATGTATGTATGTATGTATGTATGTATGTATGTATGTATATATGTATGTATATATGCACGTATGTATTATTTATTTATTTATTTATTTATTAATATATTTTACGCCTACAGCACCTGGTCTTCCTAGGGTCTCCCATCCAAGCACTAACCAGGCCTGACCCTGCTTAGCTTCCGAAATCAGACAGGGTCAGGCTTGTTCAGGGTGGCATGGCCGTAGACTGATTTTTCAGCTTTAAGGAATGTTTATTAAGATGTCAACAGGGGCAGAGATAGGATCACCTTTAGGCATTATTCGATTAAATAATAAGTTTATCCAAAAGACACCCGCTGGCAGCATGAGCAGAAGAGAGGGAAGAGGTTACAAGTGGAGAAGGAGTATAAAAAGGGGAGGTAGGGCAATGTCAGAGGGACTTAGAGGAGGAGAAGCCTGCCTGGCCCCCGTGGAGGAGCTCTGCCACTGATGATATGACTCATGGCTTGTTTGGGTGTTTGGGGTGAGAAACTTAAAGGGCTCACAGTCTTTGGCCTTTCTCATGAGTCCTTATGTTTCACTCACCTGAATACCGGATCTTAAAGCCCTTCCGATTGTAGGCGTGGTCAGATGACCAGCGCAGGTACACGGAGTTGCTTGTGCTGGTGACAACCAGAGGGGCTGAGTAATTCCCACTGAGGGCTTTCAGCAGAGGACTCTGTCCTGAGGGACCTGACATGAGAGTACAGGACACAGGATTACAGACTGTCACAGCTATTACAGATGTTAGATTTGAATTCTTTAATGTAACCACCTCCTAAGTTCCCCCTCCTTAAGTGAAGGCTCAGAATGGCTGGGTAGTTTGGTCTGAGTCAGCACATTCATTGTCCTTCTACTCCTCTCTCTGCATCCACAGGCTCAGAGAAGAGCCATGCTAGAATAGGTGTACTGTGTCAGGTCAGAATACCCACTAGGTAACCATGTTCATTGGGAGGATCTGGAGGTCCCATCAGTTCCTATAGCAATAAGGACACACTGGTGAAGGCTGAGCACCAGCATCATTGACAACCTGAGTAATGGCTGTCCTCTGCAGGCCACAAATGATGTGATGTGAGGAGATGCTGTCACAGAATCGGCTTCCTAGTATGGATGGGAATGAGAAGATTCTAGAACACAAAGGCCAGGTGGAAGCACTTAACTGTCAGAAGTGAGGTTGGCATAACAATCAAAATATACAGTAAGGCTGAAATGGCAGCTGGGAGGGCCTGACCTGCAGGATCTATGGAGATGGCTCACAGCACAATGTTTTCCTAAGGGCAAGATGGACGGGCAGCCAAAAAAAAAATATGAATATATGAACAAAACAGATCAAGAATATATAACCAAAAGGGAGAGGTGCGCTAACCCCAGTGGAAAGGTATAATCCCTTGCCCAATTTGGAGACTTGTTCCAGGTTTCATTTCTTACTCCAGAACACTTTGGCTGAAGGAAGGACTGGGTGCCCATGAGGAAGGACCCTACAAAATGACATCAATTGTATATAGTAGTGATTCCTGCAGTCCTTCCCCCAAAGACCTACCACTATTTACTCAGCTAAGTGAATACTGAAGAAAAGAGAATGGTCAGATATTTTAAAGACTTTTGGATACAGAATGTGAATTGATGCTGATACCTGGGGATCCAAAGCACTATCATGGCTCCTCTGTTTGAGTGGGGGTATCTGAGGGCTAGGGCTGCTAATAAATGGAGTCCTGGCCCAGGACTTAACCAAGTAGTAGCCTCAAATTTCGGTAATGGTGTCAGATGTAGTGTCTTCATTAGAGCAGATTAACATAGCCTTGGTTATATGGAATGCAGTTAATGATCTAGCAATGCATTCTTCCCCATACCCAATCAAATAGGAGAATCACAGCAATTTGCATTCACATGAGATAGGCAAGAGTATATAGTCATGGTCTTGCCTCAGAGCTATGTTAATTCTCCTGCTCTCTGTTGTAATATAGTATGAAGAGATGTGGAACATCTGGACATCCTTCAGAATAGAACATGTTGGTTCTCTATATTGATGACCTTGTATTAATTGGATCTGATGAGCCAGAAGGGACAATTAGTGCAGATGCCTTTGCAAGACACATGTGCTATAAGAGATAAATCCTACAAAAACTCAGGTGAAATTTTAGGGTCCAGGGGCCCGGGGCATGCTGACACATTTCCTCCAAATTAAAGAGCAAATTATTGCACCTTTTCCCTCCTACCACCAAGCACAATGTTTGGTAGACTTCTTTGGAGGTTTGGAGGCAGCATGCTCTTCCCTTGCGGGGTACTGGTATGACCCATTCATTGGCTGACATTCAAGGAGCTAGCTTTTAGTGGGGGCTAGATTAAGAATGGGTCCTGTGGCAGGTCCAGGCTGCAGTATAAGCAGCCTTGCTGCTTGGGCCATACAGCCCATCAGCTTTTATGGTATTGGGGTTGCTGTGGTAGAGAAGACATTATGCAGAACCTGCCTCTGGAAAGCACTAATGAGGAGGTCGTAGCATAGACCCCTTGGGTTCCGAAGCAAGTCTGCAGAAGGGAATGATACAGTATTCTACTTACCATCAAAGATCTCAAACTCATCATACTGCTTCTCACTGAGGAAGTACTCCACTGTGAGGGAGATGTTATATTCGGGTTCCACTCTCACCAGCCAAGAGCAGGTCTGGAATTGGGGATAGCTTCCAGGGTAGCTCTGACTCAAGATAACACCTGTGGAGTCTGTCAGAAGCTCATTCGTTGGGCAGTGTACTTGGAGAAAGAAAGAGAAATATCTGGTACATGAGATGGAAAAAGAACAAGACAAACACATGTGCTTTTTCCTGGTGCAAAAGACAACAATTGGAAAACTGGTATTTGAGCACATTCGACCAAGATCCCAGCACCCATCATTATAGTGCTCCACAGCAGGAGGTGACCTCAGATTCTGTGTCAACGTTACCATATTGCTGAGACACAGGCCTGGCCCGTTGGAGCAAATCAAGGAGGTTCTGGAGGACAATGAAGGCCAAAGTTCACTTTTATTGGGAGCTGGTTGCTTTGGTGGTGGGTGGGTTAGGTCAGCTGAGATAAACAGTTATTGAACTGAGAAATTCAGTATTGCAGCAGCCTAATTCTGGAGTTTGTGGCTCCTCTCTTCCTCACTCATAATCTACATTGCAGATTCTTCCTACTCTTGCTTTCTGAGAGGTGCGGGAGAAGCTGATCAGTCTGTCTATAGGCTGCTAAATATTTGTTGGTAGCAATGGTATTAGAAGCAGTGGTAGTACTAATAATATTAATAGCTAATATTGAGCAGTTACTACATGCCAGGCATAATTCTAAAGTACTTTACATTATTAATTCATTTAATTCTTCATAATAAGCTCATGACATAAGTAATACCATTATCTTTATATTATAGATAAGAAAACTGAGGCACAGGACAGGTAGGAATCTCACCCCAGGTCAGATGCCTTGTGAGTATTGTTTTGGTCTTAGCTGGGATAAATTGGTGAAGTGAATTCATCTTCTGACAAGGCTGGACTGAAGATAGCTTTGGTACCTCGGTTGCCAAGTTCAGCACACAGGACCTTGAGCTCATTTGCATGCCAGTAGGTGGATGAGACCACTACTCCCTGAGGTCCCAGAACTCCCTCCTTCTAATGATCAATATGCCATTTGTAAGAAATGCCAGTTAGACAAAAAGAAGACTGAAATAAATGTGGCCACCATGGCCAATTTCCTGCCCCAGCCCTAGGAGGAGGGCAGAGAACCTATCTAGAGCAATCACTTACTCCCTCATTCAAACAAACATTCACCACATGATCTCTTCCTTCTTGGGCGGGGACTGGGAATATAGAGAAGAGTAACACCAGCGCTGTGTTTTAGAGGCACTCCAGACCCATAAGGCATGGCTTAGGGCAATTACCTTCACATATCGGGGGTGGGCCTTCAAACTGCAGGTAGGTTCCGAGTTTGCAGGTCAGGATTTCATTTCCTACCAAGGTAAAGCCAGGAAGGCATCTGTAGCGTACGATGTCACCTGTCAAAGACAGACCAACATGGGGATTCTGGGAGAGATCTGGGCGGAGCTGACCATCACCCCTTAGTATCTCAAACCCCACTTCCAGGCAAGACAATTAGTAGCAGGTTGTGTTCTGTTCAGACTTAAATAATTAGTTCAGCTACAATCCAACGACTCAGACAATTGCTGCTCCCCTCTCAAAGCTCAGCTTTGCTGAGCCTGAGTGTTTTCACCTTTCAGAAACTGTTTTATAGTATCTTGCATGATCTTATTTCTCAAAAACATACTGAATCACAAAAGAAAACCACTTTCCTAGCTCCTCTGTGCAGATACGGCCAAAAGGAAGAACGAGTGTATCTGGTGCAAACTCAGGTGACGGAATAGCATTTCTCTTGCACCGGGCCTTCCGTTTCTCTCCACGGAAGGGAGGGAGACATGGCTGGCTGGCCAGCCCCCACCTCCACCCAGCCCCTCCTCGCCAGCCCCATCCTTGCTGGTTTGGGAAGTTGGTACCTATGTTGAATTCTTCATTCTCTGTGACAACTTCAGCATTGGGGAGGATGGTGGGAGGAGGGCATTTGGTGAGTGGATAAGCTGAAAAGACACAAGCAGACAAGTCAGTGTGGAAACGTCATTCTTGGGGCATGGACTCAGTCATTCATTGTTCAATGCTTCGCTTTCTCATTCCTCAGTCACTGACACAGCAGATATTATTAATGAGTATTTACCTGTACACAGGGCAAGTTGAACCAAGTACTGTTTTGAGTATCTGCTGCTGTCATCCTTTTTTTTAAATACAAAAACCAGAAACCATATATTAAGACTAACGATAAAGGAAAGAGAATCCAAGAAGGCAGTGATAGTCACTAGCACTGAAGAGGAGAGAAGCATTTACTGAGCTGATACTATGTGTCAGGCACTTTTACATGCTGCCACCTTTATTTCTCACAAAAGATGATCCTCTCGCAGGGTGTTCTTACTTTACTTTTGAGGAAGCTGAGATTCAGAAAGGTTTAGTTACTTCTCCACCACAGAAAGTTAAGTGGCACAGGCAGGATTTGAATCCAGGTCTGGATGCTCTCAAATCCCATATTCTTTCCTTTACTCAGCATCGAAATATTGTGTGTGTCTTATTGAGTACCCACCGAAGTCAGCTTATTTACCTTCTGACCTTTGCCTAAACACTTCTGGCTTCAATGGATTTCTAAACTGGAAATCACCCCTCTTGGCGGAGACAGAATTGTGTATGGATGGTGTTACCGAAGCAGATTTTAGTGTGTAAACTCATAACTTGGTTTTCATTCACTACCTGGCAGCACATGGTTACGTGTTGTATAAGTGTTAGCTGCTGCTGTCTATTATTATTATTATTTCTAAAGTCACTTTAACCCATCTATGTTTTTTTTTTAAAAAATAGCATTCTTTTAAAGAAAAATTACAAATGTAATACATTGTCATTAGAGAAAATATGAGATTTTCTATGAAAATAGCAGGAGGAAAATTAAACTCATCCATAGCCCTCTTAGAGATAACCACTAACCCTTTACTGTAGGTTCTTAGAGTATTTATTCACTGTGTATGTAAATATTTTTTCTTACAAAAGTTGCATGACATTTTATACTTTGTGTTGATCCTGTGTACTTATATTGCAACAATTTCCCCATGCAATTAAATTTCTTGAAAAAAACATGATGTAAATGATTTTATAGGATATAATTATATGATCAACTAGAATTTATTTAACAGATACTTTACTGTTAAACATTTAGGTTTCCAAAGTTTTGCAATTTAAAATAAGACTGTGAGGCACATCCTAATATATATGCATCTTTCATAATTTTTTTCTTTTCTTCTTTAAAACCAGGAATGATTAAAGTGTATGACCTTTTAAAGTATGGCATCTCCTGAATGTCAGTAATCAATTCCTGAAAATCATATGTTCTCTGTGAATATGCTAATTAGGAACCTACTTCCCATTACTTTAAATGGGAAAAAATTACAATGTGCAACCTAAAACCCAAAAAGTACTTAAAATGATAAAATATGTACATATATATTCAACAAACTATGATGTTAGAAGTTAAATACTTAAAACATCACTTCATGATCACCCAATGACTAATACAGTTGTAACAAAACAGTGGTCCTATGCACTGTAACACATCTACTTTGCAAATCACACCATAAACATTCAGTGCACCGTGTGAACTTTCTCAGCTTGAGACACTGTAAAAAGGCAGAAACAAGGGCTAAATGTGAAAGACACATGGGAATGTGTTCAGGGACAGCACTAGGAGGTGGAATAAGGCTCACAGTGAACATTACACTGTGATAACTCTCAGGGCCAGCAGCATCTGGAACACACATTGCAGATAGTCACATGAGATCGTAACATTTTACCAGTTGTAGTTGGAATGTAATTTAAGACTTTTTTGCATATTGTTTTATATAAGCTGTTGTATTATGTATTGAGGATTTAACTTTAATTTTTTCTACAAACGTGTTGGCAGAAAAGTAGCCTATTGAAACATACATAAGCTTTATGAAGTGTGGGTATTAAAACCAAGAGGCACTCTTGGGGTAACTAAGCAGGTTTAATCTTGACTTAACATAAACTAGGGAGGACCATGACTGCGTTTGATGCATGCTTCCATTTTTCTCTTCAGGAAAGTTGCTCCAACAGATACCAGCCACAAAGTTTTAAGTTTTTCCAACACTGGACGCTATCATCCTTCTTTTTGAAAAATTTTATTAAATTTATTGGGGTGACTTTGGTTAATAAAATTATATAGGTTTCAAGTGTACAATTCTATAATACATCATCTGTATATTGCATTGTGTTCATCACCCAAAGTCAAATCTCCTTTTGTCGCCATAGATTTGACCCCATTTAACCTTTTCTTCCGCCCTCCCCTCCATTCCCCTTTTCCTTTGGTAACCACCATACTGTTGTCTAAGTATATTAGTTTTTGTTTGTTTGGTTTGCTGCTTTCAGTTTTAAATTCCGAATATGAGTGAATCATATGGTTCTTGACTTTTTCCATCTGACTTATTTCACTTAGCATAATATTCTCAAGATCCACCCATGTTGTTGCAAATAGCAGTATTTCATCTTTACTTATGTCTGAGTAATATTCCATTGTATATATGTACCACGTCTTCTTCATCTAATCATCTACCGAATAACACTTTGGTTGTTTCCATATTTTGGCCACCTTGAATAATACTGCAATGAACGTAGGGGGTACATATATCTTTATGAATAAATGTTTTCAATTTTTTTTGGTGGGGTCGATACCCAGAAGAGGGATTGCTGGATCATATGGTAACTCTATTCTTAGTTTTTCAATGAACCTCCATACTATTTTCCATAGTGGCTGTACCAATTTACATTCTCACCAGCAGTGATGAGGGTTCCTTTTTCTCCATAATGTCTCCATCTCTTGTTATTACTTGTCTGGTTGATAATAGCCAGTCTAGCAGGTTTGAGGTGGTTTCTCATTGTGGTTTTGATTTGCATTTCCCTAATAGCTAGTGAAGTTGAGCATCTTTTCATATATCTATTAGTCATTTGTACGTCTTATTGGTAGAAGTGTCTGTTCAGGTCCTCTGCCCATTTTTTAATTAGATTGTTTGTTTTTTTTTATTGTTGAGTTGTATGAGTTCTTTAACAATTTTGCATATTAACCCCTTATCAGAGCTGTTGTTTGCATATCTTCTCCCATTCAGTTGCCTTTTTGTTTTGTCAACGGTTTCTTTTGCTGTGCAGAAGCTTTTTGTTTGATATAGTCCCATTCATTTATTTATGCTTTTACTTCCCTTGCCTTCGAGGTCAAATTCATAAAATCCTCTTTAAGATCAAGATCCATAAGTTTGTTACCTATATTTTCTTCTATGTGTTTTATTCCTTCAGATCTTATATTTAGACTTTGATACATTTTGAGTTGACTTCTGTGTATGGTGACAAATAGAAGTCTGGTTTCATTCTTTTGCATGTGGCTTTCCAATTTTCCCATTTATTGAAGAGGATTTCTTTTCTCCATTGTAGGTTTTTGGCTCCTTTGATGAACATTATTTACCTACATATGTGTGGGTCTATTTCTGGGCTCTCAATTCTGTTTTATTGGTCTGCGTGTCTGTTTTTCTGCCAATACCATGCTGTTTTGATTATTGTCACTTTGTAGTACAATTTGAAGTCAGGGAGTATGATATCTTTGGCTTTGTTCTTTTCTCAAGCATATGACAAGATACAACATCCATTTATGGTTAATACACTCAATAAAATGGGTATAGAGGGCAAGTACCTCAATATAATAGAGGCCATATGTGACAAACCCTCAGCTAATATTATACTCAATGGTGAAAACCAAAAGCTTTTCCTCTTTGATCAGGAACGAAACAAAGATGCCTACTCTTACCACGGTTATTCGACATAGTACTGGCAAGAGGAAGAAATAAAAGGCATCCAAATTGGGAATGAATAAGTAAAACTGTCCTTTTTTGTAGATGACATGATTCTTTATGTAGAAAACTTTAAAGGCCCCACAAAAAAACTCTTGGAAACAAACTAATACAGTAAAGTTTCAGGATATAAAAGCAATGTAAAAAAATCTACTGTGTTCCTATATACTAACATTGAAATTTCAGAAAAAGAAAAAAACCCAATTATATTTGCATTTGCAACAAAAAGAATAAGATACTTAGGAATACACTTAACAAAGGATGTGAAAAGACCTATACACAAAAAACTACAAGGCATTATTAAAAGAAATTGAAGAAGGCACAAAGAAATGGAAAGATATTCTGTGTTCATGATCTGGAAGAATCAACATAGTTAAAATTGCCATATTACCCAAAGCAATATATAGATTTAATGCAATCCTCATCAAAATTGCTATCATTCTTCTTCCATCTTATTCATTTAATGTACATCTTTTCAGGGCTTTTTCTGGGTCAGACACTGTGTTAGCTGCTAAGGGAGCAAGATAAACAGATACAGCCCTTGCCCTCACAAAATTTAGAGTCCATTGGGGAAAACAGTCATTAATTTTAATCTTTGTCAGCTTGATAAACAAATGAAAAGAATAGCATTTCTTTTCTTTTAGTTGGCATTTGGTAACTTAGGTTAAACATTTTCGTATGTTAAAGGACTGTTTGCATTTCTTTTTTTAACTTTCTATTTATGCCCTTTACACTGATTTTTCTTACAAATTTGAAGAAGTCTATGCATATTTAAGATTAACTTTTGCCTGTTAAATATATTTTCCCAAGTTATCATTTGCTTATATTTATTTATGGTACTCATTTGATTTGTAGAAGTATTAAATATTTATTTAGTCAATTTTTAATTTTTTCATTATTTTTTTAAATTTGATACCTTCCATTCTCACTCAACCTCATGCTTACCTGTAAAACATACCTTCTAAAATTTTCTATGACATACTTAACTTTTCCAGAAAAAAATCAATGAAAAGAAATCTTTACCTAAACAGAGCCTTGGATATTTTATATTTTGTGGTTACTAGTTTAATTGAATGATTTCCCATTACATTTTTAAAATCACATTTTAAAAAAATTATAAATTTTTGCTCAAT